TTCGATGTTCACCTTCCTAGATATGGACGGAGGTGGGAGGTCCTAGGTCTTACCACAGGGCAGAAAACCCTGACTGCTCTTTGGACTGGAGAGGGAGGGGAAAAGGAGTGGGGGGAGGGGGAGAAGGGTGGGAGGAGGGGGTGTAGGGTGGGAGGAGGGGGTGTAGGGTGGGAGGAGGGGGAGGGAAATGGGAGGCTGGGAGGAGGTGGAAACTTGTTTTTTTTTTTCTCCTTTTCTCAATAAAAAAAAAAAAAGAAGAAGAAGAAGAAGAAACCTGGCATTAGGGAAATTCCCCAGGAATCCACATGGATGACCCCAGCTAAGACTCCTAGCAATAGTGGAGAGGGTGTCTGAACTGGCCTTCTCCTGTACTGAGATTGGTGGCTACTCTAATTGTCACAATAGAACCTTCATCCAGTAATTGATGGAAGCAGATGCAGAGGTTCACAGCTAAGCAGTGGGCCAAGCTCCTAGAGTCCAGTCAAAGAGAGGGAGGAGGGATTATATGAGCAAGGGGGGTCAAGACCATGATGGGGAAACCCACAGAAACAGTTGTGGCCCATGTGAGAGCTAATGGATTCTAGACTGACAGCTGGGGAGCCTGAATAGGACTCAACTAGGCAACTAGGCCTTCTACATGTGAGTTACAGTTACGTGGCTTGGCCTGTTTCTGGGGCCCCCGGTAGTGGTATGAGGACCTATTTCTGGTGCATGAGCTGGCTTTTCGGAGACCAGTCCCTATGGTGGGATGGCTTGATCAGCCTTGATGCAGGGAGGTGAAGGAAAGGAGCTTGGTCCTACCAGAACTTGATGTGCCAGGTTTCATTAACTCCCCGTGGGAGGGCTTGCTCTTTCTGAGGGGTGGCTGGAGGGTAGGGGGAGAAAGTTAAGGGAAGCTGGAAGAGGAGAGGAAACTATGGCTAGTATGTAAAATGAAAAAAAAATGAGCTCCACAATAAAATCAAGCACGGCTATACCACAGGATATATTGACAAAGGAAAAGAATGAACTCGGTGACACAAATGACAGGCTCCAGACATGCAGTCTAAAGGTTTCTAAGAATCTTGAGAGTCACAGAGCTCAGTTGACTAGGAGAAGACTAGGGGCCGGGTTACTGGTGATTCTGCCTACTGTGCAGGCAATACTCAGAGTAGAGAACTGCAGAAGTACAACTCCATTCTGGAAAAGCTGCATTAAAGGCAGAAGTGAAAGGCCATTGTTGGAATAGCCAGTTCACAGCACGCAAGCCATTCTAATAAATTTCTTTTTAATATACATTTTAACATATATTATATTAATTAGTCAATTCTTTCCTTCTTTCAGTTCTGTTCCTCTAAAGAACCCTGCCTAATAGAAACATCTTTTAAAATTCCTTCTTAAATCATCAAAGCTTCTTTGGGAAAAAAATGTCCATTTCTATTCCTCCACAACTTTTTAAGACCTCCCTTTCTCCATACTGTTCCTCTTTCCTAGTTAGAGTCCTACAGGTCACAACTGGTTTATTACATTTAAAGTAAAATGTGTGGAAGCAGATGCATGAATCCAAGAATTGTGTACTGACAAATCACAGGTGGAAAAGCAACATTGCACAGCAGTAGAAATCTTGAAATTCTGAATAATGAGCTATAAATTAATCCATGGAGCAACTAACCAACGGGTTAGATGAAATCAATCGGCAATCCACTAGTTCATGATGTGTCTGCACTGAGGTAGACATTCAGGCTGTGGGAAATGGTCAATACAAAGGGTTAGGAATGAGGAATTACAAAACATGTTGGACATAATTAGTCTCTTCTAAGCATGTAACCATGACAGCATGCTAAGAAATCCTCAGGGAGGTTTTAAAAGATGAATATCTTGTTCTGGTTTGGTGTTTTGAGATAGGTTTTCTGTACAGAGACCAGGCAGTGTACAGAATGATTCCATAGTACAGTCAAGCCTCCAACTCAAGAACCTATTGCCTCAGCCAGTCCAGAGCAAATATTTTTAAGACATAAACAGTTAAAAATAATCATAATCATTTATAAACACTAAGTTTACCAATGATCTCCTATTCAAAAGCTGGGAGGCCCCAACAGGAGAAAACAGGTCTGCGTAAGGGTTTATGAATGGAAAGCAGGGCCCTCTAAGAACAATGCACTCAATACAGAATGAAAGCCAAGCAGGCTAGAACTGAGGGTGCAAGTATGCCATGCTTTGCAGAGAGGTAATGCAGTAGATCCAGGTGGAAAATAGAAAAGGCACGAGGTTCCAGATTACAAGAAGCTTGATTTCAGGTTTACTTCTCACTACTTTCTGGCTGAGCCACCATGAAGAAGTCTTAATTCTATTTAGAAGATCAAAGGAGGGTCGTAGGAAAAAAGAAACTTTTCTTTTTCTTAAGTGATACGACTATTACATGGTGCACGCTCATCATACAGCCCTCTTCTTCTGGGACCACATGATGGCCAAAGCATGCGCTCCAGAAACAATGAGCAATGTTGAAATAAGAAATACTATTTGTTGAAGCTAACAAAGCCTGCCTGCATGTCCCTACCTTTGAGAAATGGACGAGACAGAGGTGTCGAGTCACAGGATGAATTATGAGGACTAAGTTTATGAATATAAAAAAACTTAAAAAGTACCAATGAGTTGCTTTATTGGGGATGGTATGGTTTCTCTCTAATCTCAGTGTCAATAGGAGTCGAGAAGTTATCAGCAGTCAGTATCTGTTTGTTGAATTAGAAATCTTGAAGAAAGGTGCAGAGTTGCAGCTAAGTCTATAGACCAGGTTCCCAATGACAGCATGAATGTGGCATTTCAGTGGTACAACAAAAGTAGGAAGCAAAGTTCCAGTGAAGCTCTCCACTGTGGTGATTATCAAAGTACCATCTATCTTTTTCCTCTGCATAAAGGTCAAACTCCCATAGTGTTTAATCTTGTGGAGGCTGGGGAGATGGCTCAGTGGTTAAGAGCACTGCTATTCTACCAGAGGAACTGAGTTTGGTTCCCAGCATCCACATCCGGGCCTCACAACTGCTCCAGGGGACCCAATACCCTTTCTTGCTTCAACGGGAACTTCTCACTCACATATATATATATACATACACGCACAAATACACATATATACATGAATTAAAAATAAATGAACGGGCTGGAGAGATGGCTCAGTGATTAAGAGTGTTTGCTGCTCCATCAGAGAAACTGAGTTTGGTTCCCAGCACCCAGACCAGGTAGTTCCCCCACCACCTCTAATTCCAGCTCCAGGAGTATCCGATGCCTCTTGCCTCCACAGGCACTGCCACCCCACACATACAGGTGCACATGCCTTACCTGTCACACATACACGTATTTAAAAGTAACTGACGTTTAAAAATAAGTCTTTTAAAAGAAGAACATATAATATGATCAGTAGGATTATATGTTTGCCTTAATTTAGAAGGGGTTGATGACAAACTCTTTAGCCCCAGCAGATCTTTATAAGTTCCAGGCTAGCCAGGGTTACATAGTAAGACCTTATTTTAATAAATACAATAAATAAAAAGACGTCCCAACTCATTAAAACTGCTTTTTTGACAAGGTAAGAATATTCCGGTCTTATCTGAAGGACTTCCAACATCAAATACCAAAGTACAAAACACCTTAGATCAGTCCTTGTTGCCCCAGCACTTAGAGGCAGCTGTGCAATGCAAGACCCATGAGAGCTAACTCCAATACTGACATAGTTTTAAACTGTTGCTGGATTTTTTTTTTAATTACAGAGGTCATTCATGTTTTTTTTCCATTCTGTATTCTACCCTATCTCCAACTTTTCAATCCTATCCTACGCCAGTGCCATTGTTTTTCAGAAATTATTGAGACTAGCTTTTGTGAACCAGGAAGCTTGGTAACAGCTGTGTCTGAGAACACTGATCTACTGCCTAGAAGTGAATTGGCATCTAGAGGCTAGGATGGTGCAGACCCAGAGGCTGGTTATCTTATTTTGAGCTAGCTTCAGCTCCCTAAATAGCCATTCCTAGCCCATCTCGATGTCAGACCAAACACACTGTGACTAAGGAAGGTTCTCAACCTTCCTAACGTTGTGATCCTATAATATAGTTCTTCAAGTTGCAGTGACCCCAAACCACAAAATTATTTCTGTGGCTATTTCTTAACTGTATTTTTGTTGCTGCTGTTACCGTTAAATATTTTTGGTGGTAGAGGTTTTGCCAGAGGGACTCCATCCACATGTTAAGAACCACTGAACTAAGAGATTAAAAACCTTGTGGAGTCTATTAACTGACCAGATCACTAGCTTCCATCAACCCCGAGCTAAGGTTTCATCAGACAGCCTCTGAGGACTGTACAATTTAACTGATGATTTTGCCAACAATTGCCTCAACTTAGTACTTTTTTCATTCTGTTACTGAAAAACTTCATGAAACCACTTCCGTAGAAGAACATGGAACCTGTGGTAACCTAGCTCCGTGTTCTCTAGGCCATGATCACTCAAATCTGGCTACAGAAAAACTACTCCCTTTGAGTGGGTGCTGTAGTATATGCGTGTGCATGTGTGTGTATGTGTGTGCACGGGTGTGGGCGTGTGTGTGCATGTGTGTGTATGTGTGTGCACAAGTGTGGGCATGTGTGTGCATGTGTATGCACGAGTGTGGGCATGTGTATGTATGTGTGTGCACGAGTGTGGGCATGTGTGTGTGTGTGCACGAGTGTGGGCATGTGTGTGTGTGCACGAGTGTAGGCATGTGTGTGTATGTATGTGCACGAGTGTGAGCATGTGTGCTTGCTCACATTTTCATAAACTTTGGAGAAGACTCTTGATCAAAACTTCAAGAACACAAATCTCCTGTTCTCTTAGAGAAGCACTGACAACATGAAGTTTTAACTTTATACTCAAATCAGGAAGTGATAACTGGAGAGCAATGGACCCAGAGGGGTGGCGTTTCCTCTCTTCACTTAGTGTTGCGGATTAGCTGAAAATGCAAGACACATTCAATATTCTGACGTTCAATCTGAAAACTCACAAGTATGTCTGGCCAGTGAGTAGTTGGAGCCCCCGCTAGTCAAACCAAACCCTTCAGGAATCTGACTGGAACTCCGAGGTCTGGTCAGCAGTTTCGGTGGCTCAATTTCAGCTCCGAACTCCGCTCCGATCACTCCCAGGAGGACGATAGCAGTGGCCTGCTTCCTTCTTTCTTCGTAAGATGTGGAAATTTTTTTCATTTGTGGGACACTTGATAAGCAACCTGAAAACCAAAATATAGGAATGCAAGTTAAAAGAAATTGAAACAACAAGTATATGTGGTCAGAAGAACATTCAAGATTATACACTTCAGAAAGAATAGTTATTTTCAGAAAATGGCACTGGGGCACAAGGTGGGGCAATAAAAAATATGTCACCAAACCAAGAGATGGAAACACTTTGCTAATAGCCCTAACTCTTTAGAGGTTAATTCCTTAAAATATACCCAGACATTTTTTGTTATTTCCCCTTTTCCTACACTGTGTTCATTTCAGATCATATATAGGCTGTTTTTATCGTGAGCCTCCCCCAGTGTTAGAAAATGACTTTGTAACTTCTAAGTCCATGAAAAAAAAATCACATCTTTCTTTCTTTATCTCCTATAAAAACTGCAGTCTTGGATGTTTAAAAATAGTTAATACTAAGAAACATTTTCCGAACTATACTATTACATACATTTCCCCACTTCACGGCAATTTTCTGTTTTTAAAGACAGAAGGAATATTTATTAGAAATACTAACAGGTCCTAAAGCAGAAGAAAGAATGTATAAGCTTCACAGAACTCTTAAAGGAAGAAACATAACTAGTCACTTCGTCTGTGTTTGAAAGGGCCATCATTCTAGACGTCATATTTAACAGTGTGATAACCTAGATCTCGGTGCATTCAATGAAAAATCACCCTTATTTACATACTTAGGGGACATGAGGAGTAAGGGCACATGAGACTGCATCTAGAATCCTCTTCTGTAGTACTGGATGCTTTACTCTTTACACGGTGGTCTGGCAGAGGAAACAACCTGCTCCCCTCCCCCACGCTCAGCAGGAGCATGCTCCACAACAATAGTTCAAAGGAAAGCTCTATTCCGCAGTTGCACTGATTGTTCTGTCAGCTGACCTCTGCAGAAGGGAATTGCTAACTGCTGCCTTGCTCCTTAGCTGACAAATGAATGATCGTAGCTCCATCTATTTTCACTATGGCTGCCTCTAGCCCAGGTGCTCAGACAGAGAGCCCGGTGTGACATCTTAGATCAAGATGAATTGGCACAAACTCCTGATCCAAGATTGTTTTATACCATTTAATTTAGTTTCTTCCCCTGCTTGGATGAGCACAGCTCTGGTTATGGATTTCTATTCTAATGTACTGAAGCAGGCCCTGAAAGAAGCCAATGAAGCAGCTGCTAGCGCAAGGGACTGCAGGGATACTGATCAATAGGCAAGGCATTGACCCCAGCCACTCAGCCTCGGCAGCGCCAGGCTGAAGGGGGAGGGGCACAGCAGTACACATGGTCAGCTTCCAGGAGGAAATTAAACAAGGGGCACTCAGAGAGTTCCACTCTCACCCTGGCCCCCACCTTCACTATGTTCCTTCTGTTTAATTGCCTCAATCTTGTCTTAACTCCCACCCCTAGGGAAGGAATTAAGATTTTACACTACTTCAATTTGGTACTTTCTATCAGTCACTTATGCATTTTATCCCTTAACTAATAGTAAGTATTGTAACAGGTGCCCTCTGCTAAGTGGCCAAAATACAAAATTTTAATTACATCACTTGGTGTAATTTGAGTTTGGCATGTACCTGGGCTCATAGTAACATTGTCACACTACGGTGCTGAAATTTGATTATGATAAGCACCCAGATGTAAAAAGATAGATCTTTGTAAACAAGGAAATAAAAAAAGAAGAGACAGGAACTGATGAGTGATGGCAGAAGGTGCCAGATGCATCCCTGGGACTGCACTAAAAATAACAGCACGCCCTCATTTCGTTCCTCAGATTTGGAAAAGTCTTTCCTTTATTGGCCTGACCTGGATTTTCTGGTAAAAAGAAATAATGTGCTAATTAGCTGCAATACTGCCCTATAAGTAAAACTGTCAATCAATATGGAGATTTGAAGATATAAAAATAATTCTCTAAAAGTAAGTCTTCCTACAGTTTCATGAAAATCCAGTATTTTTTTTTTCCCCCACAGAGACATGGCTCCATTTAATCATGCTAACGGGTGACATAGAGATCCATTTTCTTGACAGGACGGTTGATCACCCTATCACAGTAAGAAAATTAATACCTTCAACTAGCTCGTACAGAAAATAGAAGGAACTGAATGGTGAGGGACATAAATGTCTTATATTGAAGTTGCGAACAGAAAGCACATTCTGCGTGAACATGATGTTTCCTTAGGATTGGGTTACTCTGAACACAACATGAGGTTTTGATTTTATTAAAACAACCATTTAATTCATAGGGTTTCTGAAAGTACATAATTGTCTTTAGACTTAGCATAATTGAGTTCAGATTTACAGGAAGAGGAATAAACACTTTGCTTACAGCTTAACTAGAGCACAGGTAAAATATTTGAGAAGTTTAAGCTATTAAAAGGGCTGTGAGATATTGATTACTTCATTTAAAAAGCAGTCAGAGAGTGCAACTGAGAGGTCAAGATAAATTTAACAATTTGAAGCACTTTACTAAATAACTCTAAAGATCATGTTAATTGGCTTTGTGCAGTTCTCGGGTAAAATTAATTTTATCCTAGCTTACAATAAAAGGATTAAAAGACATATTAAGTTCTTCAGCTTTAACTGGAATAGGAATCAATGGATTTGAATTAAAGCTAAAGGCGGTTTTATGAGAGATGGACTACCAGCAGATACTTTATATCTGCAATTAGCCATATATTGATAGAAGGTTGTTATTGTATTCGGTATTAAAACCGTAGAGAAGTAGATACCACCAATTTACTACTCTGATAAAAATACTCCAAGAACTCTGTGGTTTGAGCAGAGAAAACTGTTTTTAAGTCATTGATCCTTTGTTTAGGACTGAATATCATAATGCTTTCTTAGTTGACTTTTATCTAAGTAAATTCTAGTTAAAATTAATGAACAATGTGTTTGAATTCAATGGGATTTCCTTTCAAATTGTAAACAATATGCAAAACAAGCTGCACTTCACAAACATATCACTTAGATTTTTAAAGCCAGTACATTAACACTGGGCACAGAACAGCAATTTTTGTCAGAAAACTCTGGTACACAAGAGTCCAAGTGATGCTCATAATAATATGAACATTTCATAAATCTGGTATGAATTAAAATGTACTCAAAAGCTCACTTTGAAAATTCAGTAATATCTATTTGTTCATTGTAGATGGATATTAATTTTTTTACTTTTAATAATGTCTTAGAATCACATGCATGAAAATGTGATATCTAATAAAGTAAAAATAATCTGCACTTAATAAGATATATATCACTATTATCTTATCCAAAAAGATCATTTTATAAAAAGAAGACCATGAGTTTTATGATCTACCCATGACAGCTGATGAAATTATTTTAATTAATTTGGATTAAGCTAGGAACTATTTTCTATTCTGGTTCCTGCGGGCTTATTTTATTTGCAATAAAGTTTATCTTGCTAATATTAGGCTTTAATAGTTAAGAGAAAAATGGTGAACTTTTTCCAATGTCTGTGTGAGGCTAGAACAGTCCTGACATGCCGGCCAAGGGTATGAGTTCCCAGAGCCACAACAGAGTCCTATTTCTGACTAATGAAAGATTCTAAAAATTTCATTTTATCTACTTCTAGTTTCTCAAGCCCGAAGACATTTGAAAACTCTGTGTGACAATATTAGCAAATACTGACCATAAAAAGGATATAAAATGGTACACTGGGTGAACTTGACCTGAAAATGATGCATGACAGTGAATCTGCTATCAAGAGGCTTTCAAATCAGATTTCAAAGCGTGGTCAAATGGTCTTGTGCATGTGCTTTAATCAAAACCATCTTCCTCTTGACTGACTCATATCTTAACTGATGGAGCTGGTGCCTAATGGAATATTAACAATTCATTTTTAATATATGCCCTTTCCTCATCATTATATATTGCTAATCAAATTAACACTCTATATGTAGATACTCATATATGTGATTAAATCCCCACACATAAGTATATCACATTCCTAGTGAGGTTTTCAAGATACCATGCCTGAGTGAGCCACAAATATATTTTTGAGACATTAAATTGTGTAGATCGCATTGTAGAATCGCATGTCAAAACAATGACTCTAAGAAGACTTCCCATCTACGATATTTCTACCTAAGATTAAATAAATTTTTCTTTATGTGTTTGCTGTTCTTAGGGTTCCTTAAGATGGACAAAATACAACGTCACAAAAAATGTCAAACTTCACAAGATATGAAATAGAAATCTTCCAAATAGGCCTTTAAAAAGCTTTTTAATAATAGATATTAAAATCCTTAAAAGAAGCAAATATTTTAATATTAACTCACCTTTAAAACAATCTAGTTTTAAAGGAACTTATGATCATATTCTGCTAATTAAAATTTAGCTATCTAGTTTACCACTTCTTTCTTGAATATTTCAAAGTTGAATTTATTAAATAAAAAAGCCCTGGTCTATGACAACCCATGGTGAGAAAGGACTTAAAGACTCCAGGTTACTAGTGCTGAATCTGGCTTCGGAGGCTTTTGTGGAGGATCTGAGGAACCTTAGATTGTACATGCTACAATTTAGTTCCTTTTCTGAACCATGAGATTCAGTGAGAGTATTACATGTTATCTTCATTTGCTAGAATAACTTAGAGTGCTCCAGTTTATACAACACATCAAAAATCAGTAACAGGAGGAATATAAAATTTTATGTAAATTATTCCAAGTCATGCACAACTCATCCTGTGCAAATGAAGTAACACATTTTTGAAATGTTCTACATCTTTTCACCCCATTCAAAAAGAGAAAAAACTTAAAAATCAGCTAATTTAAAATAGCTGTCACACAGCACTTGCATCTATTTTGAAACTTTCACGGTATTTTTAAGGAGGTACATGGAGGGTGTGAGCAGCCTAGGAGTGCCTCCCATTGTCTTAAAAACATAGTATAGCTGTTTTGTGTTGTGATTTAGCTGTCAACGTGCTCCTCATCTACTAGTGGGGTGGAGGGAATGTGCCCTGCTCATAACGTGGCTTCTGCTGCACGACTC